CATCCATTCCTAGGAAGTGGATGTGCCCAGGACATGGGCCATCAAGACAGACAGGTCAGACTGGGGAAGTGTTCTGGCTCAATCCCTTTCAGATTGTGTGACTCTGAGCACAGTAGTCAATCTCTCAGAAGTTCATCTCTTGTGTAAAGTGGGAAATGATGCTTATGGATTGTAGATTCCACTCTCAGTGGGGCTATGTGGCCTGAAAGGTGCTGAAAGTAGTTGCTCTGTGGATAGGGCAAAACTTGCATTTAGGAAGAATAAATAAATATATTCATGCAATGCACAAATAAACATTAGTATATATGTGATATTAAAATCTCACAAGACTGCTGGCAATTAGGAACACATTTTTAAAATGGCTGCTAGGGGAGGAGGAAATGAAAAAAACACAAATTGAAAAACTCTTCTATAGATTCAAGTTTCTCTGAGGCTAACGGGCAGTGTGGGATAATCACCACAGAGCCGGACTCTCAGGAACTACTCAGTGAGTGGTGGTTTTGAAACTATTACCTGCCTAACTAATCCTGTCACTGAAAATGTGCACACTGATTCCTATTACATATTGGAGCTATGTAAACCTTGACTAGGACCATAGAGAAGAGTCAGCTGCCACCTCTGACTTCACCTATGTGTGAGTGAAAGCTAAGCCTAAGAGGCTGAGTGCTGTCGTGAGTGGATACCCTGCAGGACCAGTGTTCATGAGAGACCAGGACTGAGTCTTCCATTCTTTTCTTACCTCCAGGGCTGCATCATGTCATGGGTTCACCAAAGGTCTTTTTTTCAATTCCCAGCCTTGCTGGTAGCCACTGCTGTGTCAGGGCCTTACCACCACTGCAGCATAGTTTTGTCCTGGAGAAGAACTGAGCTAAGTGGCATCATTACAGATGGTGTCACCATGGGAAAAAATTATTTTTCTTACTGGAGATATAAAGGTAAATCAAAGTATAAGACTCAGTTTCTGTTGTTGGCTCTAGGGGAGGATGGACATATAGAGTAGACACAAGGTGATTGAAGGACTCTATGTGCCTTTGTGCAGTTGCTTGAGCCGACTGTTGAAGAACAATCAAGTATTTCTAGGGTGAGGAAGTTGAGAAGGACCTTCTGTCTGCCCACAGTCAGCAACGTGAGCACCTGGAGCGCTAGACACAGGAGGAGTGGCGTTGTGAGGCACGTGGAGAGGAGGGCATGGACAGCATAGACATAGAGGAGCACCTGGAGCCCTGTGGACTATTGTGTAGTGCAGAGCCGTAATCTCTTGAGAGTCGGGTGGTGGCACCATCCCATGGTTGCAATGGCAAAGTACAAGCCTTCTTCTAAGAAGTAAAGCTTCAAGTAGTCCTCAGGCCCCACATCACCAATCTTCCTGCTCCATACCTCTCCCTTGCCCTCTATGCCAGCCCTGCTGGCCTATTCCATTCCTCTGGTGTCACAGGACCTTTAGATAAGTTGCAGTTCTGTCTGCCTGAAACAGGTTCTCTATTACTTATAATAATATTTGATTGATTTTTTTCCTCATTAGGGTTTAAGCTAGGAATTATGTCCATCTCTGTTCAACATAATAATCTTAACATCTAGCATGATGTAGGTTCTCACTAAAGAGCTGAGGAAGGAAGGAAGGAAAGAAGGAAGGAAGGAAGCAAGGAAGGAAGAAAAGGGAGGGAGGAAGGGAGAGGAAGAGGGAAGAAAGGAGGAAAGAAAACAGAAAGAAAGAAAGGAAAGACGGAAGGAAGGAAGAAAGCGAAGAAGGAGGAAAGAAAGGAAAGAGAAGGAATAAAAGGAGGATAAAAGAAAAGAAGCATGGAGGGAAGAAAGGAAGAAAAAAGGAAGGAAAGAAGGGAGGAGAGAAGAAAGGAGTAATGGTTTGGAGGAAGAATGGAGGAAAGGAAGAAAGAAGAAAAGGAGAGAAGGAAGAAAGGAGGGAAAGAAGGAAGAAAGGAGAAGAGAAGGAAGGTGAAAGAAGAAAAGAGGGAAGAAGAATGAAGGGATGGAGGAAAGGAAAAAAGAACAAGGGAAAGGAAGGGAGGGAGGGAGGAAGGGAGGAAGGAGGAAGGAAGAATTTAGCTGAAGGAGACTATGAATTTACTGAAATCAGAGCGCCCTAATTTCAGACTTCCCTGTGCTCTCCCTCCCGCTCCCTCCCCAGCAGAGGTTCTGTGCTTTGATGCTGTCTGAAGGTGCTGGCCGGGCCCCTCATGCTGGCAACAGAAACAAGGTGTTCATAGCTGGCTTTTCATTTGAGCAATTTTCTTCCAGTGGATGAATGCTAATTGATGCTGATAATGAAAACAGCTCCTTCATAGTTGATTTCTAAAAGCTGAAACCGGGCACGCACAATCCATCCTGACTACCATGATGGTCAGAGAAAGAGAACAAATGGGAGAAATGCAGATGTCACAGAGTCCACCTGTGTATCTAACACAAAATGACCAGAGGCGGAGCTTCTTAGCGAGCTGCGGGGAGAGGGCTGACCAGGGTGTCTGGGACATAACGTTCAGCACTGACAGGATTCTGAGAGGCGTGTGCTTCCCTGGGGGTGGTCGTTACTGAGAACATATTGTGGCGAAAGGTAGGGTTTAAATCTTGGCTTATCATTGACAAATCATGTGTGTAGGGGGCAGTGGCTTTGCCTTCCCTAAGACTCAATTAGCTTATTTAGAAAGTGTGAGGGGAGGGGCTCATGGCAGCACTCTATCCTGTGTCACTGTGAAGACTGAACCATGCATGTGGAAAGGGTCCCGCCCAGCTTAGCTGATGCGATAAACACCTACCACGACTGTTACCATGAGCATCATCTCCCCAGAACAGAAAGATCAGCTCAGTTCATCAAGGGATGTATGTGGCTTAACAATATACCAGAATCTACGTTGATGTTGTCACCAAAAGGTTTTAGAAGGAAGTTCTTAGTAGCAATAATTTAAGAGACTCAAATTGGAAATAGGCCAGGTGCCCACTGATAGTACAATAGCCACTTAGGCGAATATTATATAGTGATTCAGGTAGATATAGTGGTTCGGATACCATATGGTGATCATCAATTACTGTAGAGTGACTGCAGTGTACCACTTTGACTTCAGCCTATGGATGAGTCTCACAAAATATAACGTTGGTTGACAGCAGCCAAACAGAAAAGAGTATAGGCTCTATTGTTCCGCTTATATGCAATGCTAGTGCAGGTGAGACCAATCTTACAAAATTAGCATTCAGGGTATTGTTGCCTCTGGAAAGGAGGGAGGGATTTTCCTTAGGAGGGGAGGTGACTGGTCATATTTTGTACGGTGGTCTGGATGGTGGCACACAGGTCTGCCAACACTGTGTTTATTGAGTTGTACTCTAATGCATGCATTTTTCTGTATCTATGTTATGCTTCAAGTAAAGATTTGCTAAACAAACAAGCCTATTCAGCAGAAAGCTAAAAGCGAGTACACTAGGGCCCCTGCTCCTTATCCAGCTTTTCTTTCCTTGGTTTTAGTTACTTGTTGTCTGAATATATTAAATGAAAAATTCCAGAGAGCAAGAATGAGAATAAAAGAGAGAAAGAGACAGAGAGAGGCCCAAATAACTAATTTCAGTATATTGTTGCAATGTCTTTATTTTACTATTAGGTATAATTCTTAACCTCTTGCTGTGTCTAATTTATAAATTAAAATTTATCATTTTATGTATGTATACATAATTTAAAATTAAACCTTTTTACGATATGTATGTACATGTGTATAATTTATAAATTAAACTTTCTCTAGTATGTATGTATAGTGTATGTAGGATTCAGGGCTACCCATGGTGTCAGGGCTCCACTGGGGTAAGTGAACATGTCCTGCATGGAGAGGGTACTTAGCAAAGAATGCAAGTCTATGCTTTCCTACCCGGGGCCCCGAAATCTGTACCAGAAAGTAAACAGGCAAATCCAGGCACAGACAGTGTGTGGTGAGAGCTGTAATTGTAGACCCATGTACCAGGTATGAAGGGGAATGTGATCAGCTGTCACGTCCACGGCTGGTGACAATGGCCCAGTGCTCCATGCGGTTCATCCAGGGGCCTGACTCTCCTGTTCCTTCCTACACATGACTAAGCCACTCCACTTTGGGGCCTGGCTCCCATCCATCCAGTCCCCGCTTTACTACCACCACTGCCCCATCTCGGCCAGGCATCATGGGTACTCACCAAACTAACTTCTTTTCTTTCATTCTTTTCTCCAGACTCATGGCTCAGATAGACTAGATTATAATCTGTGGACCGAGTCTTTTGGGTTTGCAAAAGTTGCCATGAGATTCTCAGGTACCCCTGTCCCTGGGAAGTAGTGTTATCTCCTGGAACCAGGACATGCCTGGTCCTGATTCTGTCCACACTAAGACAGTCCACAGCTCCTAGCAAGCACCCTAATTTTCCAGCTTTTCCTAGTCCCTCTAAAAGACATGTCCAACTTCATTTCCAGTTTGTCCTTCTACTTCCTGACATCCTTGTTTCCAGTTTGCCTCTGGTTGACACGGACCTGCTTAGTTCCCTTCATCTATTTTGTTACTCAGCCCCGTGAACCCTGTGCCTTTGGATTACCTCAGATGTCTTCCACACTCATAAAGGCTTCTAATCTATCTACCTCCACAGTCCAGCTCAAATATTGCCTGTGTGAAACTGTCCTCGATGCTTCTGAGTCCTCTGTGATCCTACCCAGCAACTTGTGCAGGCCAGAATTAGATCACTTTCCTCAAATGTCACTGTGCATAGCTCACCCTTTGTTCCTGAGGGCAGGAGCTGTCCCAGCTCATCTTGGCCGGCACAGTACTTAGCACCTGCCTGGAAGCAGAAAGATGATCATGGATGTGTCTTGACGGCATGAAGTCCATGGGCACAATCGATGTCACTTGGTACATGTGGCTTGCTGTAGGAGAAGGACAGTGCTGGGGTGGGGAGTGTAGAGTGCATTGAACAGGACAGAGATGTTTCCAGGGCTAAGTTATCCAGCCTACCCACACTCTTTCTGTTGGTTTTCTTTTTCCCAGTGACCTTCAGTGACTGTAAGGGAAATGACAAGCTGCGCTATGAAGTCTCAAGCCCTTACTTCAAGGTGAACGGCGACGGGGGCTTAGTCTCCCTGAGAAATGTAACTGCAGTGGGCAAAACTCTGTTCGTCCATGCATGGACCCCCCACGCCGAAGACATGGCAGAGCTCGTGATTGTCGGGGGAAAGGACATCCAGGGCTCCTTGCAGGTAACTCAGCTCTGCAGGATAAGTTTGGTTCAAGAGAAACGTTCAATTTTGTCTGCCTCCTGTAGAAAGTGGGTTTTCACTGTGTTGTTGGCCAGCATCGTCTTTGTTATTGTTGTTGCTGCACATGACAGAAATTTAACTGTCTTTAAAAGAAAAAACAGCGGGTGGTGATTTATTTGTTCCTGTAACTAATACTTTTCAGGGATAGTTCTGCCTTCGGGCATGGCTGTGTGCTAGCACCCAGATGTCGACATCAGCTTTGATGGGCATCCTGTGCTTCTGTATCCTCTCTGTTGGCCCCAGTCTGAGAAAACCCCAGGCCACCACCCCCGTGCCTCCCAGTGGGAAGGTGTCCCCAGCACCACTCACTCTGCCAGGTTGCAGTCACCCAAGAGAGACCCTCTTGCTGATGGTGCCAACTGACGCTTGACATCAAATCCTTGGCTCTTGTTAGACCGCAGCCCCATCACCAAACTGAGCACTGTGTCCATTGGGTTGGGATGCTCTGGTTGACCACATCTGCATCCCACATCTTTTCCCGAAGGCAGGGTGGTGTCAGCCCCACCACCTGTACACATGGAGCAGGAAAGAAGGAAACGTGGTCATTCAAAGTAAATGAAGGTGTTTTGGCCAGAGGCAGGAGTTGGGTGTCAGGCAGGCAAGAGCACAAGGCCCACTGGAGTTGTACAGCAAGGCGGCCACTGCATATGGCAGTACTCCTTCACCCGGGGCAATACCCATTCCCTTCCAGGTGTACACGGCGCTGGCCCCACTACCGCACATGTGCATGCTCTCTGTGACGGCCATAACGTGCCATTCAGGCTTTCCAGGTGTGCCCTTCAGTCTTTTTCTTACAACTGACTCATGCACTCCTCCTTTACCGGGGCTCAGAGACTGACTTCTTGATTAGAGGAGGTTTTGAAAATATACCCTGCAAGACGTCAGCAAAATAATGACAGTAACAGTGTCCCCAGAATGATGTGCCTAGCTTTTTGCTCTACTTTCTCCCCTGTGCTTCCTCAGTTTTCAAAGCCCGTAAGTCTCATTGCCTTTCTCCATCTGCCGTCCATCCCTCTCCCCCTAACCGTTCACTGTCTACTGTCTGTAAGTTGGTTCCATGTTGCAGTGAGCCTGACACACAGCTGGGCAGCAGAGGGACAGGACACCTAGCAAACCAGCAATGTCTTCGCTCCAGTGCAGCCTCTGAGGTCTTGAGAGTCACGCAGCTTCTTTATCTTCAGAGTAGAGGGTTTACACAGGCTGGGATGGCACACATGGGGCCCTGGGCTACCCCACTCTATCACCATGCTCATGGAAGATATGGCCAATTGTGCAGGCTTCATCTGAGCATCTTTCCTAATGCAGTGCTTCTGGAACCTACTGTCAATCAATCACTTCGAGATGTTTCTAGGGATGGAATCTACTTGCCATTTTCAGAGTGGACAAACTCTAGAATTCCCCTTCCTGTCTCTGAATCTGCAAGTCTTAGGTTGCAACCCCATGAATCCACCACACGTCATGACGTTTTCAAAGGCACTAGGATATCGGGGAATATACACAGCACTGTGGATACCCACCAACACCACAACACCAACATTTCCTCTCCCTTGGCCACTGCCACCTTCGCAGTGTCTCACGAACTTGTGACGTAAATGATGTTCAAGTGACTAAAGCCACTGAGTTTCCAGGGTGTGCGGTGAAAAGTCTTCTTAGGAGCAAGCGATGGTTGGGAGATTCAAGCCAGGGGCTGCACGGGCTGTTTCTAGATGGACACAGTCATCACGCCTGGGGCTCACGTTTTGTGTGGAAAAGACAGTGTCAGAGTATTGTACCCTGGGCTCACCTCAGGAAATCTTCACCTGGAGAGACTGGGAGAGGGAGGTTCATCGCCAGAGGCTTAGGCACGCTGCTTTCTTGAGGCCTCTGTGATGCTTCCCAGGGACCCCGTCCTCTGAGCCCTGGCTCTTTCCCATTTGCTGCTGTCTGAATGCACTGTGGAAAAGGTTGGCTGTGACCATATGCTTCCTACAGAGCTCACAGGGGCTGCTATGGCACCCAGTATGCCAGACTCCAGCAGGACAGGAGGGACTTTGTCTCCTCACTGGGTGATTTTCTCAGGCTTGAAGCAGGCCTTCTGAAGACTCTCAGATGTTCATGTGATAATTTAAAAAAAAAAAACAACAACACCAAAAATGTGGGGAAAGGAACAGCAAAGGAAAACAAAATAGATAGCAAAAGAGTCCTTCTGAAGGGTACTCAGGCCTCCATTGATATTTAGTTAGCATTGTGTAAAGGCCCTACTATGTGGCCAAGTAGACCAGAAGCTGCAGAGAGAAGTTACTGAGTGCAGGAGTCAGCTCAGCTTCCAGGAGGGCAAGAAATGTGTGTGTCCATGGTCATGCATCAGACAAGGAGGAGAAGTAAGTGGTGTCTTTAGAAAAGGGAGAAATCATGTCCTGTTCTCATGCACCACAAATCTTGGCTCGTGTAATCTCCTAGCAGTGGGCAGGTACTACTGGTACTGTTTCACCTATGGGGGAACAGAGGCACAAAGAGATGCATGACTTACCCTAGATCACACAATGATAAGAAGCAAAACTGTGAACCCCGCAGTCCAGCTCCTGAGTCCAGGCCTCTGGCCCCTCTCTAGTGCTGCCCCTTCCTTCCCTTAGGAGTGGGCTGTGCTGATCCTTGAAGGTAGGTCCTTGGGGGAGTGAGGGCTGCCCGGGAGGGCAGTGTCTAATTGTCTGCAGGACATATCTCTCTGTAGCTGTGATCTTGGGCAGACTACTTTACCTCCTGAGCTTCTGTTTAGTTTGCATTTCATTATCCATAAAGGAGGGATGATAATAACCTCCTAGGGTTTCCATGAGAATCAAATGAGACAGTACAGGGCACAGCAGTAGTGCCAAGGCTACAGTAATGACCGACACTGATGCTCACATAACCCTTACCAAGAGCTCAGTCTGCTCTGCTTCAGTCACTCTGTCCTCATGACCATTGGTGCTATTATCATCTGATTTCATGGGTGAGGAGACCGTGAGGCAAGAGGCTGCCCCTTGCCTTGGTCACACGGTAGGTGGGTGGCAGAGGTGGGGCTCAGACCCCAACCCTGTGGCTTCCGAGCTCTTCCTCTTGACTAGGATGCTCCATGGCCTCACCCTTTAGGACAGAGCAAAGGCATGCCGAGGTCCCCTCCCACAAATCCAATGAAAACAGTAGCAAGCAGGATCTGTGACCCAGCTGTCAGATCATCAGAACCAGTTCAGCACCCTTCCTGCACACTGTCTTGCCATGGCTGAAGCTAGCAGGACAGTCCCTGTAAGTTCTGGCTGCCACTTGGGCTACTCTTCCTTGCATCTTGACTCCCACTTCTGCCCAGGATGCTGGGATTGGTGATGCTGTTTGCAGTGTGGTGCAGTTTAGCATCTCACTCACAGCCACGAGCTCTGCAGCTTTTAGGGACAGCCTGGCTCTGCGCATTGTTGGCCCCCACACACCACACTCCCCACACAAGCCAGAGCGCCATATCCCAGAGGCCATTCCGGGGGCTGGGGAGGCCGAAAGGGAATTCTGAATTCAAAGCCAGGAGCAGGCGGGCAGGTGGGAGCTGCCTGCGGAAGGGCAGGGTGGAGGCAGTCTGTGGGGAATTCCTCCGGGGACTTGATGAAGAAGAGGTGACAGCTGATGGCTAAAATAATGGCTACCACTGTTGTTTGAGAAGTTATTTCATGAGTGTTTTCAGGTGCATGCATCTCATGCGTGCATATTTAATGTGCATCAGTTCCCATCCTCACACCCTCTGTGTGGAGTTGCTTACATGTTCCCTCCTTACACACGGAGAACTTGGTCACAGGTAGGCCAACTCAAGATTGACAGAAATAAGATTGAAATCTGGCTTTTCCATCCCAACACCCATTCTCCTTCCTAACTCTCTGCTTTCCAGGAGGTTGTGCTCTGGGTAGCTGTTGCCTTCACCGTGGGTCAGAAGATAACATCCTGAGTTAGAGCCACACCATAACAATGAAGGAAAACAAGAAATACAAGCTGTCACTTGAAGGAAGACAGATCTAAGAAAAAGTATCTAGATGATTCTAAATTGTCCATCCTGGTGATGAAGATGAATGGAAACAGGCAGGGAAGGAGTGGATGAGAGAGAAATATCATCACCCTTGAGTTCGTTGAGCTGTAGCTTCCTGGGGTCACCTTGATAGACATATCCAGGGGCTGGTGGCCAATGTGGGGCTGCTCTTAAAGGGTAGATTTGGAGGAAAACCACCTCTGAGTGGTGAGAGTTGAGTTTTGGTATTGGATATAATGTAGTTCGCGTTTCTGACCCACCAGTTACTATGTGACCTTGGATGAGTCACTCAGTGCCCTGGACCCTGATATCCTCATCTATGAAATAGGGGTGAGAATAGAGTCCACACCACAGCATCAGTCCATTGGCACAGAATGAGACATCACATGACAGGTGCATCAACAGAGTTATTTTGGAGGCTCTTGAGGAAGGATAAAGAGCTGGGAGTCCAACATGTTTGCTGAGGCTGTGAGACAAGTGAGAGGGTGGGGGCAGGGGGAGCCAAACAGTGGAAAGAGAAAGCATCTCAGGCAGGAAGGTGGGATACCCAGCATAATGCAAACAGAACAGACTCCACAGTTTCTTGTCCCATGTCAGAGGTTCTCCAGGGTATTGCAATCACAGTGCAGGCCCAGCTGTCCTTTAATGAAAGCATGTCCTTCCCTTCCTTGCACCTGCTACTCAAGACCCCATTTCACCTGGAAAGCCTGTAGCCCAAACAGGAAGTGTAATTGTTTAATAAACTTTAAGTTGTTTCTGCATTTTTAACAGGCTCAGAATCTAGTACCTGCCTGGGCCAGGTAAGACCACCTTAGACCTGAGAGACGGAGGTGAAGTTTAATACTTGTCTTTTGACAGAATCTGAGTTATTGTTATTGAGGCAGTAATTGCTATTGTTATTAAGGTTCCATTCACCAAA